TACAGAATGCTTAATAATATAGCTTACTAGATATTTCTTAAAGTATAAGTTTGGATTTTCATTTTAATTTGCTGTTCATTTAAGTGGCTAGTTTGGATTCACATATGTACATGAGATAATATTTTTAAAAATATTCCCAGTTCATTTATCTATATTGTAAAACAAACATTTAGCGGTTGTTGTTCAGGTATCCAATACTTTGCAAACTGCAAGCGAATCTAGTTTATCAACAGGCATTCAAAAACATGCAATGAAATTAAGATTATTGCATAATCCCTGAACAGTGCACGAAAGCTATGAGTTTATAGGTGTATAATTTACTCAGGGATTTACCAAGATCCTAATAATTAACAACAGAATGCACTGTCTCCAGAATTCGAGAGAGTATATGAGAAAGACTCAGTCTACTGTAGACCGAATGCATTACTTCCAATATTGTAAGAGATAATGGAAGGAGCGGTTGACAAACAAATGAGGAAAAATGTGTACAGAAACAAAGTACTTAACGAGGATCAACAGGTGTCCAAACATCACGCGATAAGATAAGGAGTATTTTTTTATTTGGGTACGAGATTTCTGTCTAATTATTCATTCATAATTAGTGTAAAGAAAACCCTCTTCTGTCAGTTCTTAAAAATCCGTAGTGTTACAAATGATTACGTTATTAAGTAACTAACCAAATCGTGAAACATTGGGTACGACAAGTAGCGACTTCGCATAAATTAAATGCTTAACGTAGGTCAGGGCATTTTCACTAATGTTTCAGTTCAGAACATTGCGCAATAAGTTAAATCTGCACAAATATGCTGAGCTCCTGGGATGTTGGAAGATAAATATTATAGTCATTGAGGACACTTCAGCTGGTGTTTGGGCAGAAACACGTTGTAGGAAATAGTGCTTGCAATCTTCTGTTCACTCGAGCTGTTTACCTGACTATGAATTGTAAGGCTATTGACAACACAATGCCTGATGGTTGTCTCGTAACTAACCTTATTTTGCAATTATGACGTATCATTAACTTATTTCAGTCTTGCTTATTTCTACATTTCTATATCCTCACTCTGTCTACATTACAAATTAGCGAATCAATTTTTTCGTCTCTTCGAGCAATCGTCTTTTCTTAGTCTTTGAATTTTACCTCCGACCGAAGTGACTACAGGCTCCTCAGCTAATGGATTTATGTGGAGACATGACCAACGCGTTCTAACGCACGGATGATGAACGTGAATTAATTACTTGCACGCCATGGACTGAATCACGCGGCAGTGGATGAACTGTAACTTGATTTTCCGATACATTTCCTCGGTGAAATCATGTTTGCTTCAAGCGACCATCAAAGTAGCAAAAGTACAATACGTCGTGAAAGGGTAATGCAGGTTAACTTTCATTCTTAAGGTGTGATTTTGACGTAGGCTGTGGTGTCAGACAACTATTATTCAAATCCAGTGGAGCGCGAACTTTTAAATAGATAAAAGAACATTGATTATCCACCCATCTGCAATTTATCCACTGTTATCACTACCAGATACCAGCGACTTATTCATATCTCGCTTATTGTCGTCATCGTTTTCCGTCCTGTTTCTACACTACCAGATCACCACACTATCTTGACTACTAGTCAATGCACGTACTTATTTATTTACTCACCTCTTAAAACAATCGTATTCTCTAGGTCTTTGGATTTTCAGTTTATTACTTTCAAACTGTAGACACCGACCTCCTACCTGGCGATATGATAGTTTCTGGTATCCAGAAATCCTGCTGCTCTGAAACAAACACACTCACTCGGATCACAAGACAAACGAATTCAACGATAACCACCAAACTGGCTTGAATCGGTTCAGTCAAGTAGACACTACAAAAACATCTGGAATCGTACTGTAGCAGCAGAAAGCGAGCGCAAGTAAATCAATCAGTCTTTAGAAACCACCACGCACTCCGAATTCGATGTGAACTCGCTGATCTCTAGCCAACGGCCCGAAATATCTACTTCCACAACCGTTTTGAAATATTTAAATACTAGTGGAGATACTGACAAAGTCTTCATGTTACTGGTAAATAACCTCAATAATAGGTCTGACAACCACAATCATACCGATATTAAGCCACTCTACGTTAGGTTTGGCCATCTCGATCAACTTCTGTCTTACCAGTTGCTTCGAATGCAACATACACATCCACTTTCTTGCTAACATAGGACTTGTGAATAAGTTGTCGGACCCAAGTGAAGTTACTTGCCAGGACAATCAAAGGTAACGTAGCAATTTCAAGTGTCTTCCAACTTTTATTCTTGTGTAGCACATATTCACTTATCTCTATTATTTTTCTTTTGGAAGCGTACTTTCTTTTAACATTATCTCGTGTTTCACCCTATAGCCTATTGAGGAACTTGCAAAGCAATAGTGCTGCCACCAGTACTTAGACTATAACTAGAAGGACGACTAACAGAGGTAGAGGTCTGAATTCAGAGTTTCATAATAAGGCGAATATCTTCGTTTCTAGCTACATGATTATAAGGAACATCAAGACGACACCGGATAAAGAATCTCAGAGAAGTGTGTACAATATGGTCCACTAAACTCAAACAATAAAAATCGATCCCCAACTAAGTAATCCAGATCACACTTCTACCCAGGTCCCAACCCTTAGTAAAACTAGTAAGCATAAGAGATATGGGAGAAATGGGATACTGTGGTACCTAGGTAGTACTAGAGGTTCATGTTTAATTACCCCTGTCAGTGGTCCTAGTATGTTCTCCAATCGTGTAGAAAAGTACGCTAACAGAACCAAAGAAAACGAATCATAATAGCCTACTGAAAGCAGTTGCAGTTATCCCTACCAGTATATCTAAATTGTCAAACACAGGATCAACCAAATACGTGACCATGAGAGCCACAAACCAAGCGTATAAACCGACGAAATTACCGACTGTTGTTAATATCTCAGTATCTGTTAACAGTAAGGAACAGTGTTTGGGCATCTAGAAGACAAGTGGAACAGCATAGCACCCAATACAAATCTACCTGGTCTCACTGAATGTCCCAGGATTGCAGATTACTTTATTGGATAGTAGGGAAGCATTTGATAAAGAACAGTGGAACAAATGCCGTACAATTTGCCGTCGAAAATGCAGTGGCTGAGCTAGAAATTGGTAGTAAGGATGAGGCCTATGAAAAAAGGTATACAACAGTAGCGTTTGCTACCACGTAGCACAGGTCGTCATTGTGCTTTGACTATTACCATGTTCATGTTATTTAGTCCCTTTCACCTAACGACATCAATTTTCGGTTTTGATAGACTTTAATTTTCGGAAAAGGAAACTTAGCTCACCCCCTTTAGACTTGTTTTAATGGTATTAATGGCCTCTGCTCTCACGTTATGAGAATTAGTTCAATAAAGCAACCACCAAACATCCCGTCAGGCAAACCATGGTGTCTTTTGACATTTATGTTCAACTCACAGTAAAGAACACAGAGACAACATTCTCGCTAGTGACACGCGGTGTAGATACATAAAACCCAAAGCAGCCAGATCTCAGGGGACTGACGTACTCGCTCTAAACAACAGTCTGCTTAAAAGCCAAAGGACAGATGCTGCTATTGACGGACGTCGTCACAGGCGAAACGATCATGTTCTTCTACAGCAATGCAAGAAGACTAAAACGTATACTAGAAAAAACCAGAAACATGCTTTTATTTAGGTGTGAAAATCTTATTCCTTACTGAAACATTGCTATCTTCTGGCATCCTTATTGAAGAAAAAACTTTACACGGTATGATACATTACAGATAAGCCAAGTTCACAAAAGCAGGAGGCGAAGTGGTAGTATGCATTAAAGGTCACTTCAAAGTCACAACTCTACACTGTAACAAAATAACCGAGGTGACAGGAGCATACTGTTGATGCTTCAGCTTGAACCTCACAGAGTACTGGTTTGGAGGTCACTAAAACTTTTGACACCCAACAAGATGAGGTAATACAGGTGATGCTAAACTTATCACACTTATGTCTTGACCAAACACCGCTAGTTGGAGGATTCAATACTCCATCTGTAAGCCTCAGATAGCAGGATGTAGCACCCACATAGTCGTTCCATAGGCGACTTGCCCAGCCATGAGAAGTTCAGGGCTAACTGGATATGTCGGTGGCTCCACAAGATGGGACAAGTGAGGGAAACCAACGAACTTTGATTATTTGCTGACAACGGATCAAGTTCTTTTTGAACATATCCATGTCCTCTCAAAAACAGGAAGTTGCTGCCATGGTACAGTCATGTCACGAAATAAATAATAGGGAGAGAAGACAGTGTTCCCTACCATAGCTATACTGAGGCAAACTGCACGACGATGAGGGAACATCTTCCACACTCTTCAGGGCCACGAAAGTGTTAGAGGTCAACAGAAGATGACTGACTGGGATGTAGTAGGAGACACCATTCAGAATGCCTACCAACACAATATACCTCAAGACAAGAGACAAAACAGCAACGATTACTACTATTGTACAATTAGAAACTACTTTCTCTGTCTATTATTATCGTCCCAGTTTCTCGTTTTTCCCTTTTGATTCCGCCTTCTTACACGTTATCAACCAAGTAAATTGTTTACTTATTCTTGAGACAGTCACCTCATATCATTTGAATCATTAATTCGTTATTTCCATATTGCAACCTGGTAATGTGATGCCTGCTGGTATCCAGAAATCGTGCTTTGTTGAGTCAAATGCACTCATCCAAGTACATAGTATACAAATCGACAAATAACCACCACATTGATTATAATTAGTGTAGTCAGATGGTTAGACTGCAAACATCTGTACACAATAAAATACATGGGACTGTACGAGAACAGCAATAAGCGAGGTGAAGAAATCACCCGGTTTGTATAAGCAGTGAAAAAGATGTTAAATTTGAAGCTCGTTACAAGTACATTAGATTATTGGATATTGGATACTGAATGTCTTTACATTCTCACCATGGTTTTCTGTGGCGAACAATCAAAATGGCGTTGGCGATAATAAGTTTGAAACCTCCTCCAAACGTTGATCCAACGAAAGCCACTTTAGCCTACGGGAGGTTAGCCATAAAAAGAATTGTACGTTTCAACACTCAAAATTCCTATTGGACAATGTTTGCATCCCCATATCTATATAGACCAACCAAAACAATTCTTCTGTACGAGATATTGTAAAGTGGATTAGGTCATGATGATGGGAGAGTAGATTATTAGGCTTCGTAAAGAACATTTAGGTGTTTAGGGATTTATGGCGAGAATATAATTTGGGTACGAATCAATCAGATATGAGATAACAGGTTTTGGACTTAGGCCTTCACTTCTATTATTACTGTTTTTACTATATATATATATATATATATATATATATATATATATACGCAAAAACGTCCGCGTCGTTGATTTGAGCTGACTGCCCTGTAGTTCGAAACAAAGCATATATCCTTGTTCAAGACGTTTGGATTTTCTCTTAGACACACTTAGATGATAAGCCTAGAGCATTGAAAAACGCGTCCTCTTGGTTTTATTGTTAAATACTTCTTAACTTAGTTTGTTCATATACATTTCGAAAAGACCGTTGGTTTGTTTTGTAGGATTTGGAAGTTTGAGATCACAGATACTTTTGTGGTTTTCTATACCATACCAACCTTCAGTAATAAAGATAGGAGTTTATCGACCTATATTAATCCTTGCAGTGCGTAGCACTACGGAGGTCCAATCCCGTTATGAATATATGAACAGAAGGTGCTGATATTATGTGTTCTGATAAAGAATTCCGGTAATTCAGTACTCGGTGCGAGGAATGAAACTCCAGACGTAAACGATTTGATCTCGGTTTTTGGATTTTCTTCGAATCTCCTCTCAAATTATCAGTCTTATATGAAAGTAAACGATAAGACATGTCAATACCAAGGTCATCGTTCAGTATACGATGAGCCAATATTAGATCATCCCGTAGTCTACAGTAAGATAACGGAAATAAGTTGAAGTGTCTCAGTCTGTCTTCATAAGACAGGCCAGATAGACCTTGTACCATCTTAGTACCTCGTCGTTGGACTCTTTCTAGCATATGTTCCATGCTTGAAACAAGGACTCGCTGCATGAAACCCATATTCCAAATGTGGTTGCACGTAAATCGGGTATAATCATTTAATCAGTTCGTCATCTAAATACTGGAAAGACTTACAAATACACCCTAACAACCTATAGCCTTTTGCAGCAACAGCAGCAGCCTTACAGTGACTGTTGGTTTTGAGATCAATGCTTAATATTACTCTTAAATCTTTATAGTTTCTTACTTTGGGTAACACGAATCCACATATTTTGTAGTGATACGAATCATCATAGTTATTTATTGCATCACCATACTCTTATCAGGATTTTCTTCTAGTGACCGTCTGTCCAACCATGCCACCAATGAGCTAAGATCATCATGTAATACTATTCTATCCGACATACTGTGTATGGGTCAAATTTTGTATTCATATAATATTTGTTGACTTAGTCACAAACGTTTTTAATCTCCAACTATAGAGTCTGAATGTTTTACTTGTTGTCTAAAAATGCACAAAACGTAAATCTCAGCTTGCAGACTACTGATAAAATTGTAAAATGAAGTTCTGTTAAGGGCTAAATTGGGTTGTGATTGTTAAATCAGATGCTTTGTGAGACTCGTAACTAATGAGGAAGCGGAAATTAAGCCTTTCCAAATCATGCGGAAGTATACAAGAACTTGTAAGTGCGCAGTATTGAACACAATCAGCAGTATAGAAGTAGGATCAGTTTGATTTTTATAGGTTCAATTTATATGATGGAATAAAAATCAGAGCAGGAATTTGATTTAGTTTGTTAGTTTCGATTCCGACCTCGTAAAGAATTTTAGTTATCCACCCTTCCCCAGTTTCAATTTCTGCTAGAATCAAACATCTTTATCGCTGTTTATCATCGTTATAGGATTGATATTTATATTACCCTTAAGGTTGTGGAAAAAAATCCTCGAAATGTTCATTATAGAGCTAAATGAATTTAGATGTAAAGTATGAAATAATTTACTCAGTTAATTAATTTTCATCTAATTTGAAAAATTCTGTCCTGATTTAATAAATTCATGAATACCACTTTTTACCAAGCAATATCCGTATGCACTGTTTATTAGCAATTTAACTTTCATTAACATTTAAAAGAATAGAGAATTGAAAGATACGGATCTAATAACACGCCAACGCGCTGTTAAAGCTTTATGTGATTATTTGCATGATCCCGAGCATATTGAAGAAGCAATTAATGAAGGTAATACTGTCGCCTTACTTTCCCGTTAAAATACTTTATATAGGCACTATTTGTTGTTGAGCTTTTTGCTAAAAGACCACGACATACCTTGTAGGGGATATTCAACAGAATGTTTTGTAATCATCTGCCGTAGGTTGTGAAATCATTTTCATTTTCAAAATAGAACACGCAATAGGTCGAACCGCTGCGTTGAGACACAATATTTTGGAGTCTTTCGAGCCTCTTCTAGATTTTAACCAACCCGATGTAATCAGACTGAATACGCACAGAGCTATCGAACTTTTGACCACGAATTTAACAGGTGTACAGGCAGTCATTGAAGCAAAATACATTGACTTATTAGTGAGATGTGTTGAGAAAGAAGTAGATGAAATTAAGGTTAGTATATTTTAATAATGTTTATTCCTCTAAATCTAGATTATTGTATTGAACACTTTATATCACTGCTTCAGTTTTGAAACCGAAGAAGGACTAAACGCCGGCGGGATACCACTGTTTACTAAAACTTCTCACTCATTCAAACACAGAAATCAGAACACGCGCAGCTCAAAATATTTTGCGTTTATGGTAAGTGCTTTAATGTTTTCTGAAGTATACTTTTTGATATCTTTAATCGATTTAAATCACTGCAATTAAATTGTGTGTCAGGCACAGTACATATTTTTTTCATCAAAAGTTATTTGACAAAAAGTAGTTATCGGTTTTCATCACATGGACTAACTTTACGTATAACAAACGATTATCTTATAGTTACGTATTTCTGTAATTATCACGCGCCTTTTGATACCACCATAGATCAGATATTTTGTGTTATGACGCTCACTTGTTTGTGAATATTAGATTCAGTTGTATTTAGTATACAAAATATATAAATATCGCTCTGTTTTCCTAGCTGGAGGCCATAAGCTTGGCCTAATTCATTACTGTATAAAATTGAGGAATTAATTTATGTGCTTTTTTAACAAGTAGGGAATAGATTAATCCTATGGCTTTGTGGCATACAGCTGAATGTTTTGTTTGCGGAAGGATTTCATCGAACACTAACAAAATGGAAGTAAGATAATTGGTACATTAAACCTATTAAACTGTCGCTTTAACTAAAACAAGATAGCTGCATAAAAAAAACTTCACTCTTGAAATATTTTAATCAATCAATGAGAATTAACATCCTCAATGAAATAATAAACACCAATTATATGCACGTATTCATATTGAACTCACAGCATTTAGAGATGATCTTGACATTTTTAAATAAAAAATAAGTGTAGTATTCAGAAACGCATGTTCAGTGCAGTAAGTCATTTTGTGAAATATCCAGCACACTAGAAGGGAACGTATGCTTTAGTTTTATCGCTGACTTCCATTAAGCGTGATCACAAACGGATCTATTGAATCCATATGGATATTTCTTTGGATAGTTTATGTAAAACCATCTGAGGCCAGAGGACCAAATAGGTATAGGGTTAACAACACACTAGGTAAATATCAAAACTCCGCATGTAGCTTTTTTAGAGTTACTGCCGGTCCGAAGCCCGAGTAAAAGAGGAGAGTTGAGCTTGCTCTCCCCCTTTCTTTTTCTTCTGGTGGTTTACTGGATTATCAAGACTCCTACAAGTCAGGAAAACCACGGAATACAGTAGACGGCTTGGATGCAACTAGATGAATGGACTTTGTAGATGACTCGTCCTTCTGCCTCATACACAGCAACATATTCAGGTCAAGACAACTAGTGTAACAGTAACCTTTGCATCAGTAGACCTAAACATGCACAAAAGAGAAAGCAAGAATCTCAAATACAACACCAAGAACACCAACGCAATCACACTTGATGGAGAAACTTTGGAAGAAATGGAAACATTCACGCGCCTGGGTAGCATCATCGGTGAACAATGAGGACCGGATACCAAAGTAAAGGTGAGGATCGGAAAGATAATGGCAGCATAACTATGGTCAAAGAACATATGGAACTCAAAACAACTGTCAACCAATATCAAAGTGAGAATCTTCAATACGAACGTCAAAATAGTTCTACTGTACGGAACTGAAACGCGGAAAACTACCACAACCATCATCAAAAGAGTATAAATGTTTATAAACAATTGTCTGCGTAAGAAACTGAATGTCCGCTGACCGGATATCATCAACAACAACCTACTGTGGGAGAGAACAAACCAGCTTTCAGATGAGGAGGAAATTAGGAAAAGACACTGGAAGTGAACAAGACATAAATTTCGAAAATCACCAAACTGCTTCATGAAGCGAGTGCTAACTTGGAATTCTGAAGGTAAACTGAAAAAAGAAAGGCCAAAAGACACTACATCGAGAATCGGAAGCAGAAATATAAAGGAGGAATAGTAACCAGAAACGACTGGAAAGGATTTATAGGACAGAGTTAGATGTCTCTTATTAGGATTTTTTGTAACTTGTACAGTGAAAGTTTGTAAACTTTTCAGAAACGCACCTGAATAGGTTTTGCAATTAATAGGCATAACGATGTGTTAAATTGGACAAAAAACAGATAGCTTGTTGAAATATCTAAAGGAAAGCAAACAGATAGCCCAAATATTCAAACAGGTCATCAATAATATACCGAAAGTGATAATAGTACAAATCGATTGGTAAGTATGCACAAATAACGAGGTATATCATAAAACAACTATATTCCGTCAAATGTATGTTGAATTTGACACAAGAATATCAAAGTATCAGTAAGGAGTTTGTGGAGGTTGTTAAATATTATTGAGATCATATACCAACCTAAGTTAAACAAGCATTGAAATCTTAATAGCACTGAATAGCTATTCAATTCTATTATTGGACATCCGTAGTGGATATTTACAATCCCATTGTCAGGAATCGAACCCAGAATCTTTAGACTCATCGTCATGGTTTCTTACTAAAACTCTGGGGATTTCGTTTCGAAACTGTCCATCAGTTAGCACATAATAATTACCAGTATAGAGGTTGTGTAGGCCCACAGTGATGGGGCTTTGGATACGCAATACTGCGAGGATTATACGTAGGCGAAACATCTGCCTAGTGCTTTCAGCTTTTCAAAGATTGTTTAGTTTAGATTGTTTCGTGACTTCAATAATTGTAAGAGACTGTACATTAAACAATTACGTTTCAGAAGGGGTTTAGTGGAGATTTTAGAAATTTCACTAGTTGAAATCATGAGTCAATTGAAGCTAAACCACTATGGAAAACCTGGAAGCACTGGACGACCGTCCCGTTCTAGTATGGGTTCGAATCTCGCGGAGGCAGGATCGTGGATGCGCACTGCTGAGGAGTACCACAATAGGACGAAACGGCCGTCCAGTGCTCCCAGGTTTTCAATGGTGGTATAACACCAATCGGTTCATGATCTCAATCAAAAACTTAACAATCTCCACAACCCCTGAACTGAGGAAGATTTTTGTTTGAAATGTAATTTGAATTCATTCTAATAGTGATACTTAAGAAAATGTTGTTAATGCATAACATATATATATATATATATATATATATATATATATATATATATACTGATGGAGTTTTGTTCTGTGAGCTGGATGGTTTGGTCGTGAAGCTTTCACCGTTCTTCCGAACGAAACTCCATTAAAATCATCCACGTGAGTTACAAATCTTCACTATCTCAATGTAAATATATATATATTTTTATATTTAAACCATAGTGTAAATCTAAGAGGTAAACAAGAAGCTTTGGATAATGAAACAATTCCTGCATTAGTTTCTTTGCTAAATGATCCAAGTGAAGATTTGAAAGCATTTTCTGCTGGAGCATTAGGTTTGTAAGTCATAATTATTATCATTTGTAAATGAATCTTGAGGCAAGACTATAATTTATGGATAACAGATCTGGAATTATGGTGCGAAATTAATTCCTTCAATTGGATAAATAGAGTTTTGGCATTATAGCTGATATCAGTTTGTTATGAAAACCCTATATCTGATTCCTAACCTTAATCACCAACTGTAAATCATAATTCTAATTTCCCACACAGGTTTATAACACTCATTTGGTCGTGGTTATTAAGTGAACACTCTCAAGGTCAGTCAAGCGTCGCTCAAAGGTCGTTCATAAATTATAGTCTCACCAATATTAATTGTAATTCAAGTTAACCAATTCATTTTAATTACAATCATGACTAGTTAGTGAAATTTCAATTATGTAAGTGACGATGCCACAGGTATTTGGAGTTTGACAACGCATTAACCAGTAGCATCTTCTACTATGAATTGTACCCACCAAGTGAAATCAAAAGACAAGCGAGGAAGTTCGAAGATATATTTGATAGGCTGTCAATATATCGAGGATCGACTGGTTTAGGCTGTCTAGTGATTGAAAGGGATGTTGAGCACGGCGTTCCCACTCGTGATCTGGTGCAAATGCATGACCAAGCGCCTTCAGCTAGGTGAGTCCATTAAAACTAATGTGGTCAACATCAAATGTCGAAAACTTAAAGAGCTATTTCTTTTGGGAATTATTTACCGCTACAGATCACTCCCCTCCCCCTAGTGGGGTAGTGATAACCCTAAGACGTGGTCAACCAGAAGTTTAAACCCAACGAATTTTGTCGTTGGTAAACACTCTTCTGATAGCTTGCTAGGTTTAGCAGTGTCTGGTCGTCTTTCCTTACTATTAGGGACCATGTAGTACAATATAATAATAAAAAAGGTACAATGAAATTTTCGTTTGATCGTAAACTTCATCGTTCTTTTTATCGTCTTTTCCAGCCGTTCTGGAAAAAAAATAAATATGTAAGTGCATGTTGAAATACACTCGTACGTGCGTAAAAACACAAAGCGGGCGAATAAAGGATTTTTTAAAAAATGTTGTTTTTGGAATAAAAATATAAACATATAAGCATATTAAAATTGTTCTTTTTTTATATTACACATAGTACAAAGGGAAATCAAGATGTTATAAAATGTCAAGTAGTATCTTACGTGCAATAATCGTTCAAATGTTCTGGAAATCTTACTGTTCTTCCAGAATGTGTTGTTTTAAGTATCATCGTGCGCGTTGGCTGTCAAATGAGATATTATAAGTGTCGGAGTCGTGTCGTTCGATTGTACCGTAGGACAATCGACGTGAATACGATTTCCTTTTAAATACGCTGCTTTGAGGTGATCGATGGTGATGTTATCGTTGGTTCTGTTCTTATCGATTATATAGTACTTGGATTCGCGTTGAACAACTTTGACAGGTCCTTTGTATGCTGGTTCGAGAGGTCGTCGATGTGAGTCTTAACGAACGAAGACGTGTGTACTGTATCGTAGGTTGGGTTAAACGAAAACATCAATTGATTGCGGTCGAGTGGAAACAGGTTTAACTGAACGCATTGCGTTTGTAAGCCTGTTCGTGTAGGTGGTTAGATCCATGTTCATTGAAGAAGATGAAGGATCCACGAATTCTTCTGGAAGTAGAAGTGTCGTTCCATAAACGAGTTGAGCCGCAGTGTATCCAATGTCAGCTTTCACTGCATTGCAAATACCTAGTAAGACGAGTAGAAGAGCATCGGTCCACTGAGAAGTGTTTGCAGCTGATAATGAAGCTTTTAGTTGTCGGTGAAAGCGTTCTGCCAACCCGTTTGTTTGTGGGTGATAGGCGGTCGTTCGAAAGCGAGTGATTCCTAATAGTGTGGTCAGACAACGGAAAAGTCCAGATTCGAACTGGAGTCCGCGATCTGTAGTGATGGTTGAAGGGCAGCCAAAGTTTGCTACTCATCGCTCGACGAAGGCGCGGGCCATTGTTTCATCAGTGATGTCCTTGATAGGTACTGCTTCTGCCCATCGAGTGAAACGGTCTACGCATGTAATTGAATATTTAAACAAATAGGTGTATCATTAACTTTCACTTTCTAAACAGTTTTACCGCCTTGTTTGCATGATTAAATGGCAAAAAAGTGTAAAAGAGTGTATACCAAGATTTATTGAAGCCTTGGCCATAAGAAAGTTTAACCACCCTTTACTCTTATTGGATCAATTGGTTCTATTTGTTTCTGCAACCATTTAGGTACATGTTCACCTCCCTAATTTTGAGATCATGATTCCTCCTCCATATGTATATGTGACCTGATACTACTAGCTTATTATCCAGAGTGATAAGGTTTCAAATTGTTTTCACATTATTTTCTTTATTATCCTTGTGTCCTACTTACCCTCCATTTCTCGTCTAGTTGACTTTTTGTTTTTTTATTTATAAATGTTCTTAACAAGTATATTATGTGTGATCAGATTGTTCGAAATGTATTGCGCTAATATACCGTCAAATAGTTCTGATAATCTTCGTCTTTTTATCACACTATCAAAATTTATCAAAGGGACTAATTGCTTTAAATGTAATGATTATAACTTTAATGATTGAGAACTCAAGTGGGAAGACTAATTTATTAAATTCATTTTGTATTGTTTGTTTGAATTTTCCCACTGATGTTTAAGACTGCAATTGATCAGTCTCTTATTGGCATACATGCATACTGTGCGCATTACCTCGATATTGCCTTAATTCACAAGCATTAAAAGTAAATATGGATAGTGGCTAGCGATTGAATCCAGGACGCGCGTTTCGTGGATAAGGCGATGGCGTTTGAAGTGAACAGTACTGGGTTCGAGTCCTAGAGCGAACAACAACTCTGAGATGCAGGTACATCCACTTGACGAGTCCCAAATAGGACGAAACGTATGTCTTGGATTCCACTGCTAGCTACTATCCATCTTTGCATATACGACTAATTTATTGTTCAGCGCAAAATTACAGAATGCCTTCATAAAATATGAAAACCATACATGAAATACTTCATTTGTATATAGTCCATCAAATCTTCTCTTATAAACTTCATAGTTCCTTCATTCTCCTGTTACTATTACAATTCCTCTTTGTTTACATTCTTTTTCTTTTCAATTTAATCTTCTTAATCTTCTATTGCTAGTTATTTCATTTCTGATTAATATCATATACTACTTATATCTGACAACATAAGTAGCTGACACCACCATCAATTATTATGTCATATTGTAGAAAATGAACATAGAATAGATAAAATCCTAAAGTTTTTGATAATAACATCAACAATAAAAGTACAATTGATAGATTATTTTTTCTTTCTTTCTTTCTATTTAAAATCTTATTTCTCAAGTATATGTACAACAAATCATGGTCGTTATACTACTTTAAATGCTGGTGCTATTCCTTTACTTCTTAATCTGGTTGATGATAAATGTAGTCGAGTAAGAGTTAATACTTTCAAGGTAAGAATTATTATTCATTTATTTCAGATGAAATTTAATGATTATTAATTGCTATTGATGATTGATTTTCGAGAGTCAGGCTTTCTCTAAGATAATCAATCAATCAATGAAGTTTATATTTGAAGGGGTTTATTGATCTTATAGTAATTTTAATAGTTACGATCATGAGTCATTTGAAGCTATTCCATCATGGAAAACGTGGAACCATTAGGCGGCCGTCTCGTCCTTGTATGGGACATCTCGGCAACGCGCACACCGGACTCGAACCCGGGATCTTCGGTTTCGCTCTCGAACGCTTAACCTCTAGACCACTGAGTCGGCTGGCATCCAACGGTCTTAATGTCCAGCTTCAATCAATCCGCGATGTTGCATGACTGTTCCCCATTGTCTTCAGTGAGTAACTATCCCACAACAGATACGGTTGAACTCCACTGATCACAGCTTCTCAACAGAATTCCAGGAAATCTATCTTGAAGTTAATCATTAGTGAGCACATGATAATTATCAGTATAGGGTTGTGAAGATTGTTGAGTTTAGATTAACATCCTATACTGATAACTATTTGAAACTATCAAGGAAAACCTTGACATTGATACCTATAAACTTAATAACAATCTATACTAACATGTTTAAGATAGTGATTCTTAAGCTAATTACAGTATTCATTTAATTTCTTATTCATAAAAAGAGGGAACAACCAAATAATGACACCATCCCTAAATCAAACAATAACTAATCAGGAAAAAAGTCGGTCATACAAAGCATTAAGAAATAGAGCTTAAATTTAACTTTACTCCTTCACAGTGAAATTTTCATTATCCCTATTGGGTTAATATCTGATGGTCTCAGTTCAGAAAGTATACTTTACTTTTGTCGAATCGAGTCTTGTGTGATGTATAGAATATTTCTTTCTTTTTATTTTTAAGGTCGAGAAATAAAGAATATTTGTAGATTCATTTTTGTATTCGTTGTTTGAATCTTCCAATTGATCAGTCACTTATTGGTATATATGCATCCTGTACAAATTGCCTTGATATTACCAAGTAATATAAGTCGAGATAGATAGTGGCTAGCAGTGGAATCCATGACACACGTTTCGTCCTATCTGATACTCGTCGGTTTGATGTACCTTAGTCCCAGAGTTGATGTTCACTCTAGGACTCGAACCCAGTATTGTTCACTTCAAACGCCGTTGCACTATCCATTTAGCTACTTAGTCCAAGTAGCCACTAGCTTTTGTAATGTGGTATTTGATCACATATGGCCTTGGATCGTTATTCTCAAGTGAATGAACAACTTTAAGGTTCAACCTAGGCTGCTAGATAAACATGTTTGAGTGGTTGATGAGGTCACTAATCTTATGGGTTGAAATTAAAGTATTATTCACTGTTCATTATATCATTTCAGTATTTTGTTTTCAGTGATTCAAAATGAATACCAGTTCCTTTAAATAACACTCCTTATCATAGATCTTGTTGAATATCGTTCGTATCTTTTTTGACATTTATTCTATTTCCAATCCAATATAAATCTAGTTTTACATTATTAATTATAGCTGACTAATTTAACAGTAAAATTACACATAAAAGATGTTTTCCATCCTATAAGTGTTTCATATGCTTCTTTGAACAGTATCAGAGCAGCTTCTTGAGTGTGTGGATCATTTTCTTCTTCGTGATCAGAATACAGTAAAATCAAACTGTTTATTTCACAGTTTTTTGTTTACTTCAACTCTTTATTTAAACTATAGTTATGATAGAAATGAATATTATATAATTGATTCTTGATAGAAGTGAATTTCCCTACGCATTCCACTTGAACATTCTAGGGTTGACAATCTTATTCATTTATTTTAGGTTCTAACTTGTTTATCTGAGACACCTGAAGGTCGAAGGATTCTATTGGATCATTTAAATAAAGTATGTTTCATATTTTGTTTTTTGAACATATAATTGTCGTTCTATCATTATGTGAATGTATATTTTCGTTAGGATTAATGATCGTAATATTTCAGGAGTTTTGTGGATATTATAGTAATTTTAATAGTTAAGCTCATTAGTCAATTTAAGATAGACCATCATAGAGAACCTAGAAGTAGTTGATGGCTGTTTCACCCTAGTATGGGACTCCTCAGTAGTACACATCCACAAGCCCGCTTGTGAGATCCGAACGCTTAGCCTATAGACCACTGGGCCGGCCGTTGTTCAATGGTGCTAATGTCTTAATACAACCAACCCACGAAATCGCGCAACCGTCCACTATTGTCTTCAGTGAGCAACTGCCTCATTTGTTTTCAATTTCAAGATTTTAATGTTATATTATCAGGTACAAAAGCCGAGTAGCCTATATTTGGGTTTCATTTTAGTTGCGACACATCGGTAAAACGTACGCAAAACATTCAGAAGACTAGTTCTCATCATGTGGTTTGAATTCACGTCGTCCATAGTGATATTCAGAGGTGTTAACATTAACTTCAATTCAAAACCGTTAAACCAAGCTTTCACATCTATGTCGTATGGTACGCATTCTATGAAGTCAGGTTTATAAACTTGCAGAGATTATCAATTGTTCTTAAAAGTTACCGCTTCTTCTGAAAATAATTGAAAAAAATCATTTGAAAACGTTTTTAACTATTTATACTGCTCACGAGTTACATTCGTTACCGATTAGTTTCGTATGGAGTACCATTAAAAAACACAGAGTAGTGGATAGATGATTTGTCTTCGTTTGAGGCTGCCTGAAACCACTTCCCAAATACTCTGTGAGGGACCGACTTAATGACTTTCAGGTCTCGCAGGGAACTACTGGTCACTAAAACCAGTAAATCATCATCCAATGGTGTAATTTCAACTTTATTAAGTTCGTGTGTTATAGCGTTACTGTGGTGTATACTGCCTATGCTGACAGATATAAGTAGTATGTAGAAGCAATCAGAAGTAGAATGTCTATCACCAAAAGACTGAATTAAAGAGACCAGGAAGGGAAACGGAGAGTAATCGGGATAACAACAGAATTAGAAGAATGATGAATTATGTAAAAGACAACTGATGACAGGTGTGTAAATGCTGAATGTAATGTATGATTTTCATATTTTACGGAAACAATAAATTGATTTTCCACAGGGTTGGATGGAGAATGCCGGTGAGCGGCCTATCCTCCTCCACAAGGAGTAACAGGCGTAAGTATGTAAGTAAGTAAGTACGTTTATGTTCATTACATTTGGTGCAATTATGAGGACACCGTTGCGGGGGCCTATATCCGTCAGTATAAGCAGCATACACCACATTACGATCATCTAACTGTTTCATTTCAATCTGTTCTGCATGTTATTCATAAACTAGATGAAGCTGAAATTATTCCGTCAGAAGTTGATTTAGTGGTTCTATTAGTTAAACATTCATTGCAAGGTCCTATAGTCATTGATTGACATTTTTGATCATTGTCATACAGAATAAATGTTCACAACTCTCTGATTTTCAGTAGTATCTCCAATTAAAATGAATCAGTAACAAATAAAAACTAATTTCCACAAAACTCTTTAAAATAATCATTTCATTCTAATTCTTTTTTGTTTTGTTTTGTTTTTAGATATCACCACATGTAACTGATATGAATGCTGCTGTAGCGAAACATGCAAAAATAGCTCTATCTGTTATCACTTGGCAACCTTAATTCCCCTTCCACCCCACCCCACCCCCGAAAAAACTATAGTTAATAAGACAATGAAAAAAACAAAAAAACAAACGGAATGTTTACATATACTTTCATAATATTTCGTTTATCATATAGTGAGATCTCCCTTATAGAGTAATACAGTTCTAATGAGAGTAAAATACCACCTAATATATTAATGTATGCATCAGATTATCTATAATAATATGATTCATTTTATGTGATATAATGAGATTATTATTATTATTATCATCATCAGAAAGGGGATTTGTGGAGATTATAGTGATCTAATAGTTGAGATCATGAATCAATTAAAGATAGATCATCATGGAAAATCTGGAAGGATTGAACGATTGTTTCGTCCCAGTATGGGACTCTTCAGCAATACGCATTCACAATAAGATTGTTTAAAATTTCAGTATTTATCAAGTTATTCTTGTTTACAGGAAAAATTGAACAGCGATTTCATTAAATGTTGGCAGCAGTTTAGATAAAGTAGTTTTTTCTTTAAAAAAAGTCTATATTAAATTGGTCAATATTGAAGAATGATAAAGTATTCTCATTCACAATAACAAGTACATACAAGAGATTAGGTACTTTGAGAATATTAAAACATTACAATATCAAGACTGAAGTATTCATAAGTTATGACATAATCACTAGTTAGCTTGGTTTTAACCCGCTTTAACTGTATCTAAGTTCATTCATTCACATTTGATGTCTTGCTAATTGAACGCTAGATTCGGTTCCTAAGCTCTTCTAGTAATCCCAAAGCTAGAACTACACACCAACCTGAACATGAGAGAAAAGGTGCGAAATACGTAAGGAACACTTTACTCCAAAGGTTCCATTTAGTACAGAAAATCTAGGGTTTTCATAGTATTTTAGATGACCTTGGGTTCCCCGAAAATTCTGGAATGCAACTCGACATTTGACTATTCACTTTCTTGATATTTCTGGCTAAACTTCAAGTGAACACTCATTGGACAAAATGCTTCATAGTTTTTCTTTAGCCTTTCTTGTCTTTTTGTGAGTAGTTTTCTGGATCACCCCTTACAGTATCATCAATCGAAAGTGAAATACCTGGTGGCAGGAGGCTAAGATGATCAAACAAAAGAGAACGAGAACAGAGTGTGATTGATGTAGGAACAAAAGAACAATAAAGTCTGAGATGATTGATTAACATTTTGCAAATGTCTTGGTGTTTCTGGCGAAATTTCTATTGAAGGCTGATTGAATAAGATGTTTTTCAGTGTATTTAGAGCCTTTGTTGGCTTTTTTCGAGGAGTTTTCTGGATCTTCTCAACACATATGTGAATAGTCTTTTCTTGTTTTCAACTTCTGGTTTATTTGTAACTGATGAAGGATCCTTCTTATAAGTCCATGGATTTCTCTCTGATTATTTACAAGCAATTTCATTAGTTATTCGTCATTCATATACATCAATGGTACTATTGATTTGCAAAGTTATAACATTGAGAGTTATTGTATACTATTGTAATTTAATTCACTAATCTAATGTTATTCTAGACGCTTAATGTTATTCCACTGATTAAAATCATGAATCAATTGAAGCTAGACCACTATGGAAAATCTGGAAGCACTGGACGGCCGTTTTGTCCTGATATGGGACTCCTCAGCAGTGCGCATCCACGATCCCGCGCCCCGCGAGACGTGTTTATAATGAATAGTTTTATTCAATATTATATGTTTATGGAATTCTCATACTACAATCATCATAAAAAAGTACAAGTATTGATAAACAATTTTTATCTAAAATATCCAGTATTCGTTGACTTAATACCATCAGTACAAATCTACTGTGGAAGAGAACAAAACAGTTTTCAACTAAAGAAAGGAAAAAGATATTGGAAGTGGTTAAGAAACATATTGTAGAAATCATCAAACTTCATCACAGAGTAATCGCTAACTATAAAATACTGTGAAGATTTAAATTTCATTGAAATCATGAACCAATGTAAATTACACCACCATGAAAAACCGGAAAGTAATTGACAACCGTTTCGTTCTAGTATGGAATTCCTTTAGAAGTGCACATCCATGACTCCACATGAAGTAACCAACTCCAGAATCTTTGGTTTCGCGCACAATTGCTTGACCCCTAAACCATTGAATCATCATTCAATGGTGATTTATTTTAGATCAGTTATTGATATCAATTGAGTTCAAAAATGTCCGCAACCCATCACTGATGATTATTATATGGATACTAGTAATTAGCTTGGAGAAGAATCTTTCTGAGTCCTAATGAGAAACCACGTCCAATAGAGCTAATCCATATTGATTGTGAGGCAGTTACACAACCGAAAACGATGAAACATGGTTTTATGCTATCATAGATTGATTGAAATTAACACCGTTGAATGCCGGCTCAGTGGTCTACTTGGTTAAGCTCCTGGAGCGAGACTGGTAGGTTCTAGGTTCAGATCCCGCGAGGCGGGGTCGTGGATGAGCACTGCTGAGGAGTCCCACAATACGACGAAACGGCCGTTCAGTGCTTCTGGGTTTTCCATGGTGGTCTAGCTTCAATTGACTCATGATCTCAACTGTTGAAATAAATAATTATTAAGTAAATATAATATGACATTAAAACAATTAGACTACTGATTTTTTGGCTTAATTCCTTAGAATGTTCTTAATCATAATAACTTATGATTACCGATGGATATAAATCAAAACATCCTTATTATCATCTAGTATTAAATGTATTATGAAGGGACTTGAATAGAACGTCTGAATGTTTATATTGAACAATCAACAGCTAGTCAATGTATAGGGATATAGTAGTTTATTGAATGAAAGAAAAGTTGTGTTTGCTTTTATTCATTTTGAATTGAACCATTATACTTGATAAACGTAATCATGAACCTAACAGGATTTCATTAAAACATTAAACTAGTAAAGACTAATCAATGATAATATTTTAGGTATAAAATGTTGAGGTTTTAATCAAGTAAAGAAAACTTTGTCAGATAGGGGATTTTGTGAATATTATAGTTATTTTAATAGTTGAATTTATGAGTTGATTAAAGCTAGACCATCATGGAAAACTTGGAAGTACTGAACATTCATTTCTTCCTATTGTGGGATTCCTTAGCATTGAGCATCCACGATCCCGCCTGTGGGATTTGAACCACCATTGTCTCCAGTGAGTTACTATCTCATAACAGCCTGGTTGAACTCGATTGGTCATGGCTTCTCACTAGAACTCCAGGAAATACATATTGAAGCCAGTTACTAGTGAGAATATGATGATTATAATCAGAGAAGGGTTTTGTGGACATTACAGCAATTTTAGTAGTTGAATTCACGAGTCAATTAAAGCTAAACCATCATGGAAAATCTAGAAGCATTGGACAGTCGTTTCTTCTTAGTATGAGACTCCTCAGCGAAATCAATAAGTTTTGGGTTTGAATCCCGTGGGCGGTATCATGAAGATTGAATTCTGAATTCAAATATTAAAGTATGTATATATAGAACTTTAGCCAACCTCACCTTCATCTATCGATTGTCCATCGGTTTTGATCTAGGTTTGCTTTGAAATACAGAATCTATCAAACTGTGCAGCTGAATTCATAAGTCAATTGAAGCCAAACCACCATGGAAAACGTAGAAGCACGGACGACCATTTCGTCCTAGTATGGGACTCCTCAGCAGTGCGCATACACTGTTGGGGTGATCCAGAAAACTACTCGCAAAAAGACAAGAAAGGCTCAAAAAACACTATAAAGCATTTTATCCAATCAGTATTCACTTGAAGTCCAGACAGAAACATCAAGAAAGTGAAAAGTCAAATGTTGAGTTTCTGATTGGATGATTACTCATGCTGTTACTGTGTTTAGTGGCATTCCAGAATTTTCGGGAAATTCCAGGACATCTAAAATACTATGAAAACCCTAGATTTTCTGTACTAAGTGGAACCTTTGGTGTGAAGTGCTTCTCTCATATTTTGCACCTTTTCTCTCATGTTCAGGTCGGTGTGTAGTTCTAGCTTTGAGGTTACTAGAATAGCTTAGAAATCGAATCTAGCATCCAATTAACAAGACTTATCATACACAATCCCGCCCTGCAAGATTCGAACCATGACCTATCAGTTTCCCATACGAGCGCTTAACCTTCAAACCACTGATCTGGCCTACATCCAACAATGTTGATGTTTAATTTCAACCAATCTATCAAATTGATTAATATTTTTCTCTATGGAAAGAAAACTAGATAACAAAATCTTATTCCGTTTATACATTAATATAAAAATGAACAATGGAGTAGATTATGAAATGGGAAAAAGAAAAATAATCGAGAGAAAAACAACAACAACAACATCATTGAAACAATCACAACTAAACAAGAGTAACAAAAACAACAAAAAAAGGTTACGCAATAATGATTACAGTATATATTGATTGAAATCAATATAGAATTAGACTATTACATCATAGCAACCAACATATAATATATATATATATGAACAGATATATGAAGTACCTTGTACAAGACTATTACCATGACTATTATTCATTCATTCATTGAATGTTATATGGATTACAACAAGTATATATTAATTATCATTTGTTTTACTAGTTAACTTTTGAACAGTATTTGCAAAATGTCGAGCAAGATTTAAAATATCATCAACATTATGATGTTCAGCGCGTTCTGTTTAAAGTAGACAAAGAAAATATACACTTAGAAATGAGATGTAATGAATGATCTATGATCTAAAATATTAAAATAAATCTTTATTTATGATCGTAGATTTAGTCAAATTCTGGATATCGATAACATATTCAATATGTTTTGATTGAGATCATGAACTGATTGATGTTAGACCGCTATTGAAAACCTGGAAGTACTGGACAGCCGTTTCATCCTATTGTGGGACTCCTCGGCAGCTGTGCGCATCCACGATCCTGCTCGCGGGATTCCAACCCATGTGCTCACTAGTGACTAGCTTCTTGAGAAAATTCTCGGAGTTCTCGTAAGAAGCCGTGACCAGTGGAGATAATCCGTGTCGGGTAGAAGCAGATGTCTACCTCAGTACAACGGAAGATGGTCGCGTAATTTCGTGGATTGGTTGAGGTTAGACATTAACACCATTGGATGCCGACTCAGTGGTCTAGTAGGTTGAGCGTTTGTGCAAAAGACTGAAGGTCCTATACTGATATTCAATATGGTTGTAATATAATGGTCAAGATTTCACTGTAAAAATCGTGGAATTGTTTTTGGAAATCAGTTACTGATATTTAATACTCTACTGATTATTTTTAAAGTAATAAACAGTTTTCTTTTTAAATAGTTGAGATCATGAGTCAATTGAAGATAGAACATCATGGAAAACCTGAAAGCACTGGATGACCGTTTCATCCTACTGTGGACTTTCTCAGAAGTACGTATTCAAGATCCCGCTTGTGGGATTTGAACGCAAAACTTATCAGTCTCTCACGTGAGCGCTTCACCTCTAAACCACTGATCTGGCCGATATCCATTGGTTATAATGTCTAACTTCAACCAATCCGCGAAACTGAGAGTTACATCCAGTATTGTCTTGAGTGAGTTACTATCTCACAACAGACCCGATTAGACTTCACTGGTTATCCAGTGTTACCACATTTTCAATGATAATCTAGTTTAAATCGATTCATAAATTCCACAATCTCTAGTCCACCCCCTTACAACATTCTGATTAAATATATTCATTAGTTGATAAGAGATTATGAAAATGATCTCCCTTCCAACTCATTCTGATATCTTATTTATACAAGAAACCTTTTCTTACTTACCATTAAAAAATTTTAGAATATCAGTTAATTCCATATGATTTGAACAGATCACATCTCTATAATATTGAATTAATGCTAAAGCAATAAATAAACTAAAATCATTAGAGATTATATGTTCAGCGCATAAAATAACTTCCCATATTTGAAAAATATCTTGATAATTAAATTCTTAAAAGAAAAAGAAAAAAGAAAAAAAAAGAGAAATTCATTAACAGAAGGGGTTTTGTGGAGATTTTTTTTAGAAATTTCAATGGTTAACATCATGAGTCCATTGAAACTAGACCACCGTTGGAAACCTCGAAGCACTGGACGGTCGTTTGTCCTAGTATGGGACTCCTCAGCAGTACGCGTCTACGATCTCGCCTACCGAGAGATTCGAACCGAGGATCTATCAGTGTTGTGCGCTCGAACGCTTAACCATTAGACCACTGAGCCGTTCGGCATCTAACGGTGTTAATATCTAACTTCAATTCATTAGTTAATGTCGAATCATCTAGATTAGTGACCATATTATAACTTGATCAATAGTATTTCATTATCGATTCATATTTTAACTTATTTTAATCAGGGTTTTCTCAAGAACAATCATAACTAGATCAAGATTCTGATATTGTATGATAGATAGATGCTGAAAAATTCGTCTACATTGAAGAATTCACATCATTTTCATATCTAATTAAAGACTCAGTGCTAATAACATGAAGATGCTTGTATCTTTACACTTAATCGAATATTCAAGATACACATTGGTACAGTGGATTATGTATCTTCAAAAACGATTCGAATTTCAAAAGCTTAAGATGTCTTCATTGATTTATAGAAATATCATTTATCGATTATAATGAAACTTCTAAAATTCGGCATATAAATTTGGTATATCTAGAGCTTGAATTCTTGACATATCATGTACTACTTGAATAATCGAATGATGGAACCTTCCATATTATAAATGAGGAAATAAAAGATGACCAGGAAAGAATGCTATTCTAAAACAGTGTCAAATATGTTACAAAACTCTCAGGTAGCTTTAGTAGCTTTTAATAAAGACAAAATCATTATTATAGTCATTCAATTCGCATACAGTAATTTTTAAGCTATACATTGAAATTCTGGAATATTCTTCCAAAAGATGATTGGATGGAATATCTTCGGCTCTTTCTGAACTTCTTAGATCTTCCTTAAGTTCATCTATGAATCGTCTTCATAAAATTAAATAATGATTTTTATTTATAAATTAAAAATTAAAATATTATATGATTTTACATAGTAACTAACTGACCTCTTTTAAAATATAATAAAAACCATCGATAACAAAAGTAGAAATGTGTAAAATCACTGAATTTCTGTAAATGACCAATTAATTCAGGGTCTAATATCTATGAAATACAAAATATAAAGTATATGTGATAATATGCTTATTCATATATATATATATATATATATATATATATATATATATATATATATATATATATATATATATATATATATATACATATATTAGAGTTAAGATCATGAGTCAATTGAAGATAGACCATCATGGAAAACCTGGAAGTACTGGACGGCGTTTCGTCCTATTGTGGAACTCCACAGCAGTGCGCATCCACGACCCCGCCTCTCGGGATTCGAACCGGAGACCTATCATATATATATATATATATATATATATACGTATGGCCAACCACTGACTGCCTCGACGTGCAATGTTCAATGGTATAGAAGTAGGTTGGAAGAAAGGTTGGGGCGGCCAGAACAAAACATGGCACAAATTCATGAAGTCACTGTCAAGTGGACTGAGCCATGTTGGTAGGTGTAGACTACCCGGTTGGGGACCGAGAGATGATATCAACCGATGGTTAGAGACCCTGAATGACATGGCTCAAAATCGTTTGCAATGTGCGCAGGTGCATCCACTCTTTGTGTTCTTCCGAATTCTAATCTTCTGAATTCTTCATGTCTCTTTTTTTCTCTCTCCAAATTTATTTCACTGGACTATACTCTTCGAATCTTCATACCCTAATCTTTTCGAATACTGCTTATACTCTCACTACCTCTACCACAGCGGGATTTGAATCAACAACTGCATTTCTGTGCTAAAGTAGTGTGGCAACTCGAACTGATGTACCTACGTACGAATTTCTACGTTGTTACTGACTGATATATATAAGGTTAGTTAATTTATTTCCCGGAAGATCAAATCAAGCACATCATTAATTACAATATGTTTAATTTAAAAGTATAACTAGATAAAAAATATCATACCATTATTCAGATGCGGTGAGACTAGCATTTATGAATGAACTAATCAGATTTAGGATAACAGATCTTGGTGGTTGGAGGTAGTCAACAGGAAACCCTGAACTTAGGTGTCATGCTGTTTGGGTCTCGTCACCAAGGCGTATCTGTAGTTTTGAAGTTACTAATACACCCTGATGGATTCGATCTCATATCACCCGGCTTCACAGTCAGAAAAGTTATCATTGGGATATCTGGGCCACGATCGACTTCCTGTAGGACTGAGATGTATTTAAAATCAATTAATCACTGGGTGGTGATTACCACCATCTTATCTCAATATGGTGCATGTAATGTTGAGTCACCTAGACCAGTTAACACAGTGAAACATGGTCGATAGCAGTCCATCTGCACTAAGAAGAATTTGACACGTATGACACTGATCACCACCTAATGATCAATCAATTATGTTAACAGGTCTTGGATTTTGTCGCGATATTCATTCATTCCTTTGGTTAAATAGCATTTTAGGTATTTTAACTGATGTCAGTTTGTGATGAACACCTTCCCCAAAGCTAATTCTTAAATCTGACTATCAATTATAAATCATAATCCTTATTGTTCAAACTAGTTTATAACCCTCATTTAGCTCTTGTAAGTAAGTGGATAATTAAAGGGTCAATTTAATGTTGCTCATAGATCGTCCATAAATTTTAATCTCAGCTCAGATGCTTTCAATGTCATTGATAAAGCAAGTAAATGACTTTTACATTTAACATAACGTATATTTTGACATTTTTCATGATTAGGCCATTGTAAGATTTTATTCATCTCAATTTTTTAGTGAGGTGGGAAGGATTGATGAAGTGTTATCCAGGCTTCGCTTAAAAATGAGATGGAATGCTTTCAGTATTTTAGGTAAATATTACGTTTCATGAATTAAATGAGTTATATGAATGATTACATAATCATTTAGTTTTGATTTTAGCATTGTAATGCAAAACAGAAAGGGCTTCATACCAACAATGGAAGAATATGTGGAACGCATAACAACTGTCTCTCAATCAATATCAAAATCACAATCTTCAATACGAACGTCAAGACATTTCTACTATACAGAACTGAAACTTGCAGAACTACCATAATCATCATCAAGAAGGTAAATGTATTTATAAATAATTGTCTACGCAAGATATTCAACATCCATTGACCGGATACCATCAGCAGCAGCCTTCTGTGGTAGATAACAAACGAGTTTCCAGCTGAGGAGGGATTTAGGAAAAGGTGATGGAAACGGATACGACATACACTGTACAAATCATCCAACTGTATCACGAGACAAGCCCTAACTTGGAATCCTGATGGGAAGCTAAAAAGAGGAAGGCCAAGGAATAAATTACGTCGGGAAATGGAAGCAGATAAGAAAATGATGGATAAGGACTGAAGAGAGCTGAAAAGAATTGCCCAAGACAGGATTGGACAGCAAATGCTGGTGGGCGGCCTATACTGCTCCATGAGGAGTAACAGGCATAAGTAAAAAAGTAAGTAAGTACCTATATGTATATTTTTTATCGTATAATTGTTAAATAACTAAACTATTCGTATTCGTGTTCCTCTTATTATGAGCTTTATTTTGAGCTATAGACTATTATTACACGATTTACCATTCTCGAGTTATACCCACTCTATCAATCACTATCTCCCACATTCACAACCACTTTTAGCTAAATCTTGTACAAATGTATATTTTCTATTTTTTGGTGCGATGTGGTTTGTTTGATTGGCATATAAACCCAATATATTTGAAATAAATGACTCATATCAGAGAGTCTGAGATTGGTTTCCTGGACTTAACTGGCTGGGCTAGGCGGAAAGCAGGACCGATAAGGACTCTAGACTTACATACTTACGTCTGTTACTCCTAATGGAGCATAGGCCGTCGATCAGCATTCTCCACCTAGGGTTCCTCCGGGGGCTACTGCCGGTCCGAAGCCCGGACAAAGGGGGAGGGTTGGGCATGGGGTTAGCGACCCCATCACTTAGAAAACTAACTCGCTAAAAAAAACGCTAACCTGAAAAAATTATTCAAACTTTTTAACTCTTTCCTGGAGTCAGAAGATCTTCATTTAGAAGAATTATGACGCCTCATGATGAAAGCCGAGTTCCTTCGGAAGTTACGAGGCCGATGCCCCTTCTGACAACCAGAGCAACCATTTATTTAGGTTCATGGAATACTCGCACAATGTGAGAGACCGGTAGAGTCTTCCAAATTGCTGCAGAAATGAGGAGATACAACCTGGAGGTGCTTGGGGTCAGTGAAAACACATTGGACGCAAGCTAGACAACAACGACTAGCTTCAAGGGAGCTTCTGTTATACTCCGGCCATGATGAAGGACACTAGACTGCTCGTACTTATTTTATGCTTCATTGGTCCGGTCGATAATTCACCGTGCTCTAATTGGCGGTATCATTACATTATACATTAATAGGTTACAGAGCATAAGTTATAACACATATGTATATATATAAGATCGCTACCTGTATTAATGATTTGATATGATCAAATTTTTGATCCATATAATATGTTGCAGTTTCTTTTGCAAATAATTTTTTTAAATGATTTTCCATTAAATACTTAAATAATATATAAGTACTAATTTCAATTTCATTAAATAATTCTATTGAATTCTCATTTGTTATCAATGAAGATTGATTATTGGTATCTATGGATGATGGTATGGAATGTTCTAATTTTAATGCTAATAATGGTGCAACTATATCACACATTCCTTGAGTATATTCATCATCAAGATATTCCCATACATAAGTTAATAAGATTCGTTCAATTGCAGCCAAATTACGATCACCATGTGAATCTTTGAAGAAGAAAAAAAGGTGAATAAACACAGATGATTATTGTAGAATTCATACAAAATTATTTTAGATGGGAGAAAGAGGTATCATGGTAACAAGATTGGTAGAAAATATTTAGGGGTAAATATGAATAAGAGAATATTATTATTCTTAGGCATAGTTTTCTAATCTTTACAACTTACTTAAGCCTCCATCCAACTCTGTCTTGAGCAATCCTTTCCAGCTCTTTCTAGTTGTTATTCATCCTTTTTATATCTGATTCTATTTCCCGACGTAATGTGTTCTTTGGCCTTCCTCTTTTCCGCTGTCCTTCAGTATTCCAAATTATCACTTGTCTCGTGGTGCAGTTTGATGATTTCCCCAATGTATGTCCTATCCATTTCCATCATTTCCTAATTTCCCCCTCAGCTGGAAGCTGATTTTTTCTTTCTCACAGAAGGCTGTTATTGATGGTATTCGGTCAATAGATGTTGAGCATTTTGCGTGGACAACTGTTTATAAATACTTGTACTCTTTTGATGATGACTGTATTAGTTCTGCAAGTTTCAGTTCTGTATGGTAGAAGTGTCATGACGTTCGTATTGAAGATTGTGACTTTGATATTGGTTGAGAGACAGTTGTTTTGAGTTCCATTAGTTCTTTAACCGTAAGAATGCTGTCTTTGCTTTGCCAATCCTTGCATTTACGTCTGCACCAGATCCTCCTTGTTCATCAGTGATGCTTCCCAGGTACGTGAAGGATTCCACATCTTTCAGAGTCTCACCGTCAAGTGTGATTGTGTTGGTGCTCTCCGTGTTGTATTTGAAAATCTTGCTTTTGCCTTTGTTGTATGTTGAGATCTACTGATGCAGAGGCTGCAGGCCACACTGTTTGTGCTGACCTACATTTTTTGATGTTGGTGACCTCATATCAAGCGACATTGTTCCCCACTATTTAATCACTTTCAGTGACTCCCTGTTCAATCTGACAATTATGTGTTAAATAAAGTCAAATTAATTCTAACTGGGAATATGAGGACCCAACATTATTTCGTGGGGAGGATGACCCAGAAAATTTCAAAATCCGGATATCAACTCCGGATCTTCAAAAAAAGGGAGGTGTTGTGGATGCGCAGGAATAGACCAATATTATCATGTTAAGTCCAATAGTGTCCTTGGACTTTAAATGGGTATTTTCTATTTGTCGATATCTGTTCACTTGTTGTATATTGTACAAAATGTTGTGTTCTATTTTATGGTACGATGTGGTGTGCTTGATTGGTATATAAGGTCCAAGCTTTGTCATTGCTGCTGGACGTCCTAACTCGAACTTTCTCTTTTTGCGGAGAGTGCATGTATGTGGATTCTATATATTTTAGCAGTAGCTTATGGAATCCTAAAGCTAAGACTTTGTTGTCTGCTTGGATAACTGGTGCTAAGTTTTGTGTGACTGACACCGGTCTTTATGGTATTATCAAATTAATGCAGCGCAAAGGTGACGGCATCAGAACCCGTCTGAATAAAGGCTTTATGTCATGGAAAATAAGACTGGTTTCGTTCATTTCAATTGACATATCATCCATACAAATAGTAGTATTATCGACCACATTTCTGGATGATGCTTTATATTTGAATTATAAAAAGACTGAGGATGGTGCACTCAATAATAACAGTAATAGATCTGCCTGTCATCATTGCTTAATTCATATCAATGATTTAAGTGATGTTTACCAACCTATTCAATTTAATCGTCAAACAAGCTTCCGTTTGAATAAAACTAGTAAATTGGCTTTAACTCTACGAATGACAAAGTTAAGAATGTTATTTCATATCAGTATGAGACAGCTCATGTAAATCTACATGTATCCCATATTTGTGGAAAGTTACTATGTATACCTGTGTTCATGGAAACTTGGTTAAGTGATGATTTATTCAGTAAAAATTGGAATGTTATCTTTGAAAACGCTCACATATTGGGTCATCTTCGTTTACAATTGTCCACCAATATTTCATTGGAATGCCGAAATTTCAATAATGCAACACTGTCATCATTAAATGGTTGGTTCGTAAAATCGGTCGATTTAAAATTGTATGGACTACGTACTGTAATTTTAGAAGAGCTTATAGATTTGTTGAGTTGGAAACTTTATACAAATCAAACATCTATCTTAACCACACAAATGTCATCGCTTACATCAACGTGTCCTCATTGTCATCAGTTTACCATTAAGCATCAAGAGGATACTTTACAAATGCTGGAGCATTCATCATTTCCTTTTAAAAATAATAAATCTTGTTATTTGAAACAAACATCAGAGAATATTATATCTGATAATTCATTAAAATCAAATTTTCAATGTGTTCAACAATATTTGAATTCCGTAAAATTGTGCATTTCGTTCTTACCGTTACAATTGTTCAGTTTCAATCATAATCATCATTTTGAACAGATACAACCACAATTCTCCTCCTCCTCCTCCTCATCATCATCATCAGTAACAAGTTCAGTTGTACCTGAGATGGGATTCTATTTTGAAATAATTAGATATTCATTTAAAAGAAGTCTCCAATTCTATTTCACTTCGTCTCATTTATCTATGGAATTCAATGTGCCTAATTCTATAAAATGTAATCAAAATGTTGAAACACTTCAGACGACATCTGATTTTTACACATCATTACATTCATTATCTTTACCAATATCACGAATAATCCCATCAAATCTGTTGAATGATGATAATATTGACAGTAAAATTCTATTTAATCATTTCATTTTATTAAATTTTCGATTTTGTTTGAATGATTTACGCTTATTAAATGGTTGGAATTCACAGGCTAAGCATTGTTTATTAGATGCTAGGATATATTTAATAGAAGCAACCGAGCAACTCGAATCATCTATTTGTAATCTTTATTTGAATATTTTACACTCATCAATATTTTATATACATGATAATATAATGGAAATGAATTTTTATAGAAAATTATCATCTATCTGTTATTTGTTTGGAATATGGTGTAAAACATTATATGGAAATTATAATTCTATTAATAATCATCCAATTATACCTATAACCAATATTGAGTCACATAATTATCCAAAGAACAATACAGATTCAAACAGTTTAATTTTATGGCACAAGAAAGCTTGTCTAGAAGAAAGTTCTTTCGATTAATTGAGTATCTTGGTTTGAATACACGTCAGTTAAATGTACGTATTTACTTTGGTGATGGTGGTGGTTCTCGTATTGCAGTACGTAACGATAACATCAATACCGGTAGTACTAGTATTATTCATCATAATGCAGAAGGATCTGGAGCATCTGACAGTACTATCAGTGATGATAATTCTGGCGGTGGTGTTATTACTGCAGATTGTAAATCATTGAATTGTACTGATGATTTTAATACAGAACAACGCTATCCTGATCATAATCATATTGGAATGATGGGAAGATTGAAAAGTAGAAAAATCCCAAAAATTTTACTTGTACTCATTCCTCATTTAAAGTCACCTGGATTACAGTTCGGTTTTACAAATTCTCTTGTAAATCTTCAATTTGATTTTCATGAATTAAATCTGAAAAAACCATTTGATTTGTTGAATCTAACCGATTTAAATTTAACGCTATCGAATTTTCATGTTTGTTTATTGGATAAAATTCATGAATCTATTGTTAGTGGGACAGATACTTCACAGGCACCGTCAGCATCATTATCCTGTTTACATAGTCTTTATTTTATATACCAATCAAGCACACCACATCGTACCATAAAATAGAAACAACATTTTGTACAATATACAACAAGTGAACAGATATCGACAAATAGAAAATACCCATTTAAAGTCCAAGGACACTATTGGACTTAACATGATAATTATTGGTCTATTCCTGCGCATCCACAACAATGGGATGGAAGAGTCAGGTCATCTATGAAGTCCAAATCGTCTAGTTGAATACAACCTGTCCATTATATTCCGTGCTTCCCGTGAGATGTGGAAGTTTTCACAATCCAGTCAGCCGCCAGAAGAAAGAGGAAGGGAGAGAGCAGACAGCGTTATTTGACCCCGGTTCTTACTGTCTTCCATGCACGACTTTGCAGTGTAGTCCGTCGAATGAGTTCCAGATAATGTTGATAATCTTTTCAAGTTAAATGATTATAAAACTGGAATTTTGTTGTAATATAGCAAATTTTTTGAGCTGAGATGAATTATTGTAGAGTAACATGAGGTGACGAACAAAGCGCTTATTATCACTATCGTCATTATTATCATTATTGAGCAGGACATGTTAAATGTAAGATTGGATCTAAAATCATGAAACAATGCTTCCTGTGTCCCTAAATGCCCTGGTATAGCCGAGGGTGGGAAGAACCCGATTTCCCTCTCGAAATACTCTCACATGACCATGCGTACATAGCCTCTATCAGAGAAGTCCCATTCACTACTTTCTCCTGGGGGTGTTGTTTACGAAATTGAGAGGGCAAAACGCGAATGTCCGGTGCTTTAACTGCATTGGTGGATATGGAGGGGTCACCTAGGGAAGTTAGTGATCCCTGACTCCAAACGAATGGTGCATATGGGCTCCAGGATACTGAGGAAACAAATGAAGTATAAACCTACTGTTGGTCACCAACTACCAGACGTTGCTCCACTGCCTTGTGGATCAGGCCTTCAAGTCAAAGGTTCCGAATGTGGCCCCCTAAGAAAACCACCTGCTTCAGTCTGAGCACCCCGACAGTATCACAGACCTCTCACTAATCAGTGATAATTGTTTATTCTTTTACTTCCATTCTTTATAATGTTTACATAAATAATCAGTTAATCTTTTATGTCAGCAGTTAATCCATCATCAATACCAGATCATTTATGTAGATTTAGTATAATTTTCATGTTAATATTTGTTTAGACAATGCCATTTTATTAAGATAATGAACCTCAGATTAGTAAAGGTCATCTTTATAAAACATATTAGCTATTTACAAAGTTATTTTTCAGAATCAGTTACATAGCTTACTGTTTAATTTAATTAAAAATCATAAACATAGTTGTAAAAAAAATCCACTCTGTATCACGCTCTCCGCCCAAATTTTGAGTTTGAGACACGCGAACCTCAACCCAGTAGGTCATCAAAATCCGAAGACCACCCAGACCACCCCGAAAAGTTCAACACCTGCACTCCAGCGACCTGCTCGGTTATCTACATCCAATGACTACCCCGCGCAGCCGCACGCCCTACTGCACTTCTCCATCATCAGCACCTGCTACAGCCAACACCACTCCGCCAGAATAGTCTACTCGACGGCAACTCCCCTGAGCAGACCACCTCAACTAGCACCTCAGCAACAGCACCCTCCCCCCTCCCTAGTTGGCAGAGACACTTAAATGTATCCATCATTTCTCCTCTCATAATAATAAGTACTGTAACAGGTTTATTCAGTCATAAAGCTACTTATTTCTATAACATAAACGTAATTGTTTATTGTAAGCCCAAATACCAAAAAAAATAAAGAAAATCAACAGATAGTTTATAAATAAACAATCAATTCTGTCTTAGTAAACTTACCAAATTTAGAATAGACACAATTATTTCTATCACATCTTACAACATCTTTCTTTACAGAATCTAACGCATGGGAAAACTGCTTTAAAATATTTTCCTATATGAAGAAAACAAAAATGATTGTATCTAATTAAGTATATTCAATGAATTATTGAAATCATTATGTCTTTTATGATTATTCGAATAGTTCAACAATTGAAATCATGAATCAATTGAAGTTAGACTATTATGAAAATACCCTGGTACGACCGAGAATGGGGAGAGTCAGCTCTCACTCTCGAAATCCTCTCACGTGGCCACACGTATATAGCCTCTGCTAGAAAAGTTCTACCCATTGCAATCTCGAGGCGGGGGTGTTGTTTACAAAATTCAGAGGACGAAAGGCAAACGTCCGGCGCTTTAACCGGGTTGGCGGACATGGAGAGTCCACATAGCGGAGTTGGAAAACCCTAATTCCAAAGCAATGGTGCACATGGGCTCCAGTATCCTGAAGGAACAAATGGCGTATGAACCAATCTTTGGTCATCGACTACCATGGAATGCATCTCCTTACGTTGCTCCACTGCCATGTGGATCAGACCTTCAGGTCGAAGGCTCCTGATGTGGCCCCCTAAGAAAACCACGTGATTAGGTGTGAGCACCCAGGCAGTATGACAGCCCTCACATAAATCGAATGATGAAGTGTGGCACATATCTATTTGGTGTCTCGTTGTACCAATATCTATTTGTTAAAATAAAATCTCGCGAGGCGGGATCGTGGATGCGCACTGCTGAGGAGTTGCACAATATTACAAAACGGCCATCTAGTGCTTTCAGGTTCTCCATTGATGGTCTATTGTCAATTGACTCATGATCTCAACCATTGAAATTACTATAATATTCACAAAAACCTTTTGTAAGCAATGTTGGATAGTGGCTGGCAGTGGAATCCAGGACACGCGTTTCGTCCTATTTGGGACTCGTCAACTGGATGTACCTGCATCCCATAGTTGATGTTCACTCTGAGACTCGAACCCAGTATCATTCGCTTCAAACGGTATCTCGTTATCCACTCAGCTACTGAGTCCTGATAGCCACTTGCTTGTGCAATGGGGTGAATTTCAATTCACTTGGTATTATTTTGCTTGTATCTTCCCATTGAGGTTTAAGACTACAATTGATTAGTCCGTTATTATTCAAATATACACATGTCAATAGCACTGTATACTTGAATAGTTTATATTATGAATGTTTTTCTAATCTCTGATTTCATCATCCATTATATGTATTTATGCCATAGATACATAGATAGACAGGCAGACAGACTGATAGATAGATATATAGACATATGGGAAAATAGATAGATGGGCAGACAGAGAGATAGATAAATAGACAGGTAGATGGATAGACGGACAAGCATACAGATCGATAGAGAGAGACAGACAGATAGATGAATGGATGGATGGGTAGATAGATAGATAGATAGATAGATAGATAGATAGATAATAATTAAATCCCAGGAATCAGTCGTTAACCAGAGTTTTGGGATCAATGCATTTTTTTCATTTGAAGTAAATCCCTACAACTTCTCTTTTATCATACCGATAGATTGATAGATAGACAGACATATGGACGGATGGATGGATAGATAGATCTCTACAACTTCTCATTCATCAATGTTAACCGTTTGAGTAAATTTTAATGAGAATAATAAAATGATTCAAATTTATGTTGCAATCTGCTTTTCTTTCTTTTTTTTCTTTTCTGATTGTTCATTTATCGTATTTTTTTCTTTTATTTACCTAATTCAAAGAAGAAAATTTCAATTTTTGTCGATTTTATTACATAATCTAAGTGAATGTCATTTGTAATTTTAATAGTTGAGATTATAAGTCAATTGAATCTAGACTACTATGGAAAAGTCTGGAAGAAATAGATGGTTGTTTCGTCCTAGTATAGGACTCCTCAACAATGCGCATCCATGATCTCACCTCATGAGATTCGAACACAAGACCTAACGTCTAAACCATTAAACTGGACGACATTCAATGATGTTAATGTCTAGCTTCAAATTTGTATTTAATTTATTTAATATGGGTTTTGTGGATATTATAGTAATTTCAATGGTTAAGACCATGGTGGATGTGTCGCTCAATTTCGTGGATTACTTGAAGTTAGACCTTAACACCGTTAGATGCTGGCCGGCTCAGTGGTCTAATGGTTAAGTGCTCGTTCGTGAAACCAGTAGGTCCTGTGTTCGAATCTCGCAGGGGGTGAGGTCGTGGATGCACACTGCTGAAGAGTCCCACGATAGAACGAAACGACCGTCCAGTGCTTCCAGGTTTTCAACGGTGGTCTGACATCAGTCGGTTCATGATCTTAACCATTTCATTATTTGTTAAATATACAGTGCATCAAAATATTTTGTCTTAGTAACGGAACTTTGATTCTACTTAATCTATTGAAGGTACTAACTCTTATAAGAAAATTGTATATGTTTTGCATTTTATTTTTGTTTCAGCTGTCTATTTTAATCCCTTTCTATTTATAGACTAAGGCATTTATGCGTGATTTATTCAACTTATTTTGTTCCAAACACTGCTCTCTGAAAATCGCGACATCGTTTAAAGTGAACGGTAGTGGATTCGAGTCTTGGAGTGAACATCATGTCTGGGATATATGTACATTCAACTGACGAGTATCAAATAGAACAAAACACATGAGTCCTGAATTTTGAAGTTAGCCATCAACCATCATTGTTTTTGATCCTTGTGACTTAAGTGGATATCGAGGTCATTCGCACAGGATCCATATATTGTCAATAAGTGACTAATCGATCGCAGTTGTAACTTTAATGAGAAGATTCGATGGTGGTTAGAGGTAGTCGACAGGAAGCCATGGTCCCGGGTTTCGTGCTACTTGGCACTCCTCAGAAAAGTGTACCTGTATACTTGAGGTAACTGGTGCTCCCTGACGGATTCGATTCGGTCACGGCTCGGACAGCTCAGTTGTAACGTTTCTGACTGTGAATCTGGATGATATAGGATCGAATTCATCAGGGAGCACCAGTGCCCTCAAGATTATAGGTACACTGTTCTGATAAGTGCCAATTAGTAAGAAACCCAGTTCCAGGGTTTCCTGTTGACTACCTTCAACCATTATCTAATCTCAACACATAGTGCACACAGTTTCGACTGATATAGACCACCCAGTGATCAATCAATTGTGATTAATGAGAAAATTCAAACTACTAATACAAAACGATTGATATAATTAAAGACAAATTTACTAATTCTTACTTTACATTCAATTAAAGAAGATGAATTGTGTGTCAGATTATCAGTAGTTTGACAATTGTTCATTTGTGATAATAATGTTGTATTTATGGTTTGATTTTGTTCCATATCACGAATAATCTTCTCTATTTTAGTCCATTCTTTTATTTTTCATTATAATGTACTTTTAATTGTTCATTGATAGTTTGTTTTTCTTCTTCATTCATTGTCCAATTATATACACCTAGTAGATAAGGCCAAACCTAAATCCATAAATCAATATAGTATTATTATTTATTTATTTAAATACATAAATAATGGTACAAGGAGGCATCGAATAGATATGCGCCACATTAATCATTCGATTTGTGTGAAGGTCGGGATATTGTATGGGTGCCCAAACCGAAGCAGATAGTTTCATTTTGGGGGACCACACTTAGAGTCTCCGACCTAAAGGTCTAATCCAAAAGGTCACGAGATGTAGTCCCATGGTAGCTGGTGACCAGCAATAGGTTCATACGCCATTTGTTCTATCAGGATCCTGAAGCTCATGTGCACCATTGCTTTGGAATGGAGGTTTTCCAACTTCCCTAGGTGGATCTTCTATAAACATCAACCCGTTTAAAGAGTCAGACATTCGCTCTTTATCCTCTTAATTTCGTAGACAACAACACCGCCGCCACGAGAATGCAGTGAGTAGGACTTCCCTGACATTTGCTGTATACGCGTGGCCATGTGAGAGCATATAGTGTAGATAATTATATGTAATAACAGATTCATTTGTGAAATTAAAAAAAATCATGTGTTCACTAGAGAATAGCTTTGAGAAGTAATTCTCACGGTTCTAGTGAGAAGCCGTGATCATTGGATTTCAACCGTATCTGTTATGAGACAGTAACCCATTAAAGACAATGGAACATAGTTGCGTAGTATCGTAGATCTGTTAAAGTTACACACTAATACCGTTGGATGAAAGCTAAAACTTAAGCGTTTGATTACGAGACCAGCGGTTCTAGGTTTGAATCCCACATTCAGGATCATGGATGTGCACTGCTGAGATGTCCCTTACCAGAACCGATCGGTAATGTATTGCTTTCAGATTTTCAATAGTGGTCTAACGTTGATTGATTCATTATTTCAACAAAAATTAAAAACATTTAGTATTTGAATCAGTAAGCATTGAGATATAATTATATGATTCTAGTCTTTAGGTCATTTATACACACAAAATGACAAATGGATTTTTAAATCATAGATATAGACCCATTAAACTTGGCGACTAAAAGATTTGGGTGATTTTTTTCAATTCAGATTATCCCAGAATTGTTGATACTTGAATCAATATTCTAAAAAATCTAATACCATACTTTTAAGTTTAAGTAATAATACCATTTTATCAGAAGGGGTTTTGTGGAGATTTTAGAAATTCCACTGATTGAAATCATGAGTCAATTTTAGCTAGACCACCATGGAAAACCTGGAAGCACTGGACGGCCGTCTCGTTCTAGTATGAGACTCCTCAGCAGTGCGCATCCACAACCCCGCACCACACCGTGAGATTCGAACACAGGACCTATCGGTCTCACGCCAGGTGCTTAACCAATTAGACTACTGAGCCGGCCGGCCAGCATCCAACGGTGTTAATGTCTAACTTCAACCAATCCACGAAGTTGCGTCACCGTACACCATTGTCTTCAGTGAATTGATATCTCACAACAGATCTGGTCGAATTCGACTGGTAACGGCTTCTCACTAGAACTTCAGGAGTATCTCTTGAAGTCAGTCACTAGTGAGTAGATGATTATTATTATCAGAAGGTGTTTTGTGGAGACTTTAGAAATTTCACTGATTGAAACCATGAGTCACTTGAATCTCGTGGAGCATGTGATCGTGTATGTGCACTGCTGAGGATTCTCATGCAAGGACGAATTGGCCGTCCAGTGCTTCCAGATTTTCCATGGCGATCTAGCTTCAATTGACTCATGATTTCAATCAGTGAGATAATACCATTTGTTACTAATCCGAAAAATAAAAGATTTTCGTACCGTATCTTTCATGGTATCCATGTAAAGCCTATACAATACAGATGTTGAATGTATAGAATGACCTATCATCTATTTAAAGGTTTATTACTCTTAATAATTCTTCGCATTGGAAACGTATTTTTAAGAAAACGCTTGTCTGTTGCTATAACGAAGTATAAAACAGAAAATAGTTTAGATGTAGGCAACTAATTGGCTCTAGTTACTCAATAGATCTAACAGAAAAAGTGTTTTTCTCAAAGAGATTGTATTAGCTTACTGATAGGTGTAGATTTGAGGCTGTAACCAACTATAAAAAACCATGAAAATATATAGTTACACAGTATCAAAAGAAATAATGACATGATATAAAGAGTCAATCAGAAGTAGCAAAAAGTCAGTCGATGACATTCGGAAGTGACTTAAAGGTCAAATACACTTCATTGGAGTTAATTTTCTAAGGATAGAGTGGTATATATACATGTATTTGTGCATTTCATTCAATAGTCCAATGCACTTCTGTTGAAGACGTTAGATCCTCAGAACTCACTTGGAAAAGGTCCGAATTTTGTAATTTTATTCTGAAAATTTAAATTTAATGTTTTGGCGCCAAGAGAAGTTTAGTTGACCTATAGCTTACATTTCCCACTCGGAAATACTTGACTGTCATTCGTTGATGAATTTTTTTAGTACGCTATTTTGTGGCTCTCCTAAGTGCGTTTCTATCATTGTATAAATAAGCCTGATTTCTGTGCATAGTGACGTTGTATTTTCTGGGTGCTTGTAGAATACATTCTCTACGCCTCATCAAGACTTCTTGATCTAGTTAGCAGAGCCGGGGACAACGGATTAGAATAGCTTATTGTGTCACTGTATCGTTGATCTTCGTTCTGTTTACCGAGTAAGTGAACTCGTAATAGCATTCAAGCATATCAACTTCCTCTCTCACTTTTGTGTTCTTGCTCAAGTGGTCATTTGGAGGGTTAGCACGTAGCACCGCACGTTACAACAGTTCTCATCATTATATTAAAGAGAATGAGTACGAAAATTTGAGGAGATTAATTGGAACTCATTCAATTTCAATAGGTTCTCATTAGCTGCTTACAACTTATATCTTAAAATTCAAACAACATATCAATTTCAAATACGTATAGAAGTAAATATTTAGCACCATAATGCAGAAGAAATGCAAGATATAATTATTAAGTTGAAGAAAATTAGTAACCAAATGATATAATTAGAAATATTCAATCAGTCATTTCTACATAGTATCTGGGGGGCAAATATCTAGGAAACTTACATTACTGACTGATTTGGAGACTGGGTGACATGGCTCAGAATCGATCACAATAGCATCGGTGTATGCACTTCTTGTCTTCCCTTAAACCATGAGAATAAAATCACTTTATATCTTTCTTCCTACGAACTAATTCTTTCTTCCTGTACTATGTCCTTATATGCATTCTTTCTTTGTATACAACCACCACCGAATTAACTCCTATGAATTCGGTGTTCATCATGTTGTGCTAATGAGGTGTGGCAAATTGGACCGTGCATATATGTGCCTAGTCCTATGCTGTAGATGACTGACTGACTTTATTTGGACGACTGATGAAAAGCTACAAACACTAATACAGGATTCCTCATGAACTCTGAACAATCTGTTCCAATATTTTATTGAAGTAATTATATATTGATAAGTTTACCTCTATTCAAATCGGATAATTAGGAAGGTTTCAAATGTTCAAGATGATTATCCATATGAGCATCATATCGTCTTTATGTATAACCTGAATTACGAATAAGCTTCAATGAATTTTATTATTAAACATTAGAGTATTAGTTGATTGAATACAAAATTAATGTTAAAGACTATGGTGAACGCTAGTAGTTAAACCATTCAATATCTCTTCTGATATTAAAGTAGATATATCTACTATTTTAAAAGGTACACGATGTTTAGTCACTATGCCATTTTCTTGATTTGTTTAACAATGTTTCTCACAGATTACTTAGTATTCATCCAATCAATAAAGGTGGGACTCTTTGAATAATATCACATTATGCATTCATTCTATCTCTCATATGAACCATAACTTATTATTATTATTATTATTATCAGAAAATGTTTATGGAAAACTACTTAGCTAAAATAAACTTAGTTTGTAGTTGCCCCCAAATGCCCTGATACGGCCAAGAGTGAGGAGAGTCAGCTCTCCTTCTCCAAATGCTCTCACATGGCCACGCGTATTTAACCTCTGCCACGGAAGTCCTACTCATTGCCTTACCACACCACGGGTGTTGTTTACCGAATTCAGAGAACAAAAAGCGAATGGTCGGCGCTTTAACAGGGTTGGTGGACACAGAGAGTCCACCTAGAGGAATTGGAAGACCCTTATTCCAAACCAATGGTGCACATGGGTTCCTGTATCTTGAAGGAACAAATGACATATGAACCAATCGTTGGTCATCAGCTACCATGGAACTGCATCTCTAGACATTGTACCACTGCCTTGTGGACCAGACCTTTAGGTCGAAGGCTTGGGGTGTGGCCCCTAAGAAAATCACCTGCTTCGGTTTGGGTACCCGAGCACTATCACAGCCCCTCGCACATATCGAATGAGATTTGTGTGGCGCATATGTATTTGGTGCCTCCTTGTACCAATATCTATGTGTTAAAAATAAATAAATAAATAAATAATGAAAAACATTTACAACACTTACTTCATTGCGTAATTCTGATACACAACCTCCAAAATATATACATTCATAAATGGGTCGAGGATCAAAATTCTATGAAGAATTAAAATATAAAAAACCTTGTCAATTCATTTAAACGAACAAAAAAAATATGTACTACTGAGGCGTCTCGTATCAAGATGAAACAGTCATCCAATTGTTTCAGAATTTCAATGGTCATCTAGCTTAGATCAACGACTTCCAAGAATCTCATCTACTGAAGAAATAATATTCCAAACCAATCATTAATCAAATATACATTCACAAGATTCATTTAACCATTGTATTAATAGCCAATATTTAGTAGACTTTTCCAGTTTTTATATCATAATAAAGTTTATCAAGGTGTGATATGTACTACTGATGTCAACAGATATAAGTAGAATATATTATCAATCAAAAGTGAAATATCTGGAAGCGGAAGGTTAAGAAGATCGAAAGACAGAGAACGAGAATAGAGAATGATTGGTGTAGATACGAAGAACAATGAAGTTTGAGACAATTGATTAACATTTTGCAAATGAAGTATTCACTGTATGATTCTCAGATTTTACTAAGATGATCTGTAATTTCGTTTTCGAACACATTCGATTATCCCCATTTGTGTTCTCGTTCACTACAAAGAAACAAGATTAAAATGTTGGTCATTAACTTTTACAAGTTCGTTGACTAGATTAGGAGTAGAACTATTTCAGAGATATAGAGATATCTTCTGACTACCATATTACTTTCAACAATACGTCTGGTTGAAATAGATTTCGATCAATATAGAATACGGTCACTTGTCTAACATAATTGTCAAAGACTATTTGAAATAAATATCTGGACAGTCATATTTAATGACTCAACATGAAGTCATATTGAAAATGTTTGTAAACAAATAGGTTAGGTAATAAGATATACCATAAGATAGTAGTTATGATACAGTATGTAATATGTCTTACTTTCAAAAACATCTTATCTGTCTAGAACCATCTGGCTTATCAGTATTCTGCATTTAGATTGATGTCAGCATTCAAAAGTCGCTCAGTTGACTTTTGCTTTTCGAATTCTAGGAATACATTCCTCATTCTTCTTCTTCTTCACAATCTCACTAAACAAAGAGCTTAAATAGTTTATCAGACTATATTCATAGAATCTAAAGATCACTTAGAATTATTAGATGAATTTCCAATTTCTAAAAATTCATTTAAGCTTTAAGAGACAATTAAGTTCCAGTGTGATATTTCAACACTTTCAATATTTATTTAGTTGTTTATTTAAACATATAAACATTGATGTAAGGAGAACGAAATAGGTATGCGCCACATAAATAATTCGATTTGTATGAGGGCTGGGATAGTGCCAGTTTGCCCAATCTGAAGCAGGTGGTTTTCTTAGAAGGCCATACCCAGAGCCTTCGACCTAAAGGTCTGATCCACAAAGCAGTGGTGCAATGTCTAGAGATGCAGTCCCATGGTAGCTGATGACCAACGATTGGTCCATATGTCATTTGTTCCTTCAAGATACAGGAACCCATGTGCACCATTGGTTTGGAATTAGGTTTTTCCAACTTTTCCAGGTGGAATCTTCGTGTCCACAAACAGGTCAAAGCGCCGACCATTTGCATTTTGTTATCTTAATTTAGTAAACAACACCGATGCCGCGAGAATGCAGTGAATAGGACTTCCGTGGAAGTGATTGTATGCACGTGGCCATGTGAGAGCATTTGGAGAGGGAGAGTTGTCTATCCACATCCTCGGCTGTACCAGGCCATTTATGGGCTGAATCCTCAAGATCTAAGTGTTTAAGCTATTTAGAAGTTTGGTATTTAGTCATAATATAAAGAACTAAAACACAATTAGAGACAATCGAATGTGTTCGAAACGAAATTACAGAACATCTTAGTAAAATATAAGAATCATACAGTGAATACTTCATGTGCAAAATATTAATCAATTGTCTCAAACTTCATTGTTCTTTCGTATCTACACCAATCATTCCTCTATTCTCGTTCTCTCTCTTTCGATCTTCTTAACCTTCCGCTTCCAGATATTTCACTTTCGATTGATGATACATACTACTTATATCAATCGATATCAGTAGCACACATCACAATAGTCTCATTATTATTTGGTTTTTTGTTTAAACATTACAGAATAAAGAAAAAGATGACAATTTAAAAATCATACTGATCTATTGGATGGACAGATAAAGGAAATTTTTGAATTTCTTTATTATCACTCTGTTTCACACTATCCTATATCGAATAACACAATCTCATAATCATTATTTGTTTTATATCTAACCAACTTCACTCTAGCTAAGTATATATGAAAGTCATTATGATATTTTATTGCTTATATGACGGAACTACAAGTTTCTTTAATTTACTAGACATAGAAGATTTCAGATGTATTAAGTAGTACAGCATCATTGATGAACACGGTGGATCTGATGCAGATATGAAGGCACGAATCGGCAAAGGTGAGAACAGAATGTCTACAACTGAAGAATATCTCCAACTCAAAACAACTGTCTATCAACCAACACCAAAGTCAGAATTCTCAATACAAATGTCAAGATAGTTCGACTGTATGGGGTGGAAACTTGGACAATACGAAAGCCACAATCCACAACATTCAAATGTTTATTAACAGTTATCTGCACAGAATACTTCAGATCCGTTGGCAACACACTATACTATCAGCAACAACCTACTATGGGAGAGTACAAAACAGATTCCAGTAGAGGAGTAATAAGAAAGAATCACCGGAAGTGGATAGGACACACATTGAGGAAAGCACCTAACTGCGTCACGAGGCAATCCCCACATGGAATCCTCAATGTGAAAGGAGGAGCGGAAGACCGAAGAACACATTACATCGGGAAATGGAGACAGATATAGAAAGAAGGATGAACAAAAATTAAATAGAACTAAAAGGAAGGTCCAGGACAGAGTGGGTTGTAGAATGCTGGTCAGCGGCCTATGTTCATTGGAGATAGCAGGAGTCAGTAAGTAAGTTATAATACTGAACTGTATAGAAAAAGGATGTCAATTATAACTAATTAATTTACTTACTTTTTTATCTGAAACACTCACAAATAGTTCATTCCATTTTTCTTTGGTTAGTTTCTTACATTGATCAAATGAATTTGTATAGTTTATATCAGAATGAATAACCAATGATGATAGAAGCTTTCGTACATTGTTCATATGGCGAGTATATGTAAACCCTTAGAAAAAATAAATGAATAATAAGTGAATCAGATCCCCTTCTCTTAACTGAATAGGTTAGTAATACTATAACAAATCATTATATTTCTCATAAAATATTGTCTTTCCCAGTGATCAGTCACTTTGATCTCTTATAAATGTGATCTGAATATTCATGATGTTGTAACAATTGTCATTTCACTTACTTTAACTAGAATGAGATCATGCTCTATTTGAGTAATACTGTGTTACACAACTATTTGTTCTAATCATTGCTCACCATTTGTTGATGAATTTTAATTACTTTGATTAAGTTTTTTTATTAAGATCATGAACCGATTGATGTTAGACTACCATTGAAAACCTGGAACCACTGGACGGCCGTTTCGTTCCATTGTGGGACTTCTCAACAGTACGTGTCCACGATCCCGCTCACGGATTCCAACCCAGGGCCTTCAGTTTCACGCGCGAACGCTTAACCTACTGGACCACTGTGCCGGCATCCAATGGTGTTAATGTCTAACCTTAACCAATCCACGAAATCGCGCGACCATCTTCCATTGTACTGAGGCAGACACCCGACACAGATTAGCTCCACTGGTAACGGCTTCTCACCAGAATGCCGAGAATTTCTCACGAAGCTAGTCACTAGTGAGCACATGGTAATTACCATGATCTCAATAAAAAAACTTAACAATCTCCGCAACCCCAAACTGATACTTTGATTAGTTGAAGTCTGTGAATTTCTTGGTCGAAAGAAACGTAATTGAAGTATTCTACAGTTCAGTAATCTAAAACTTCAGCGTTCAAGTGAGAGACTAAAGGTTCTAGATTTGAGGAATTATATAATAGAACGAAACGACCATCTATAGCTATTAGGTTTTTAACGGTGGTGTAACTTAGATCAGTTTATGATTTGAATGATATTCAACAATGTTCATAACTCCATACTGAAAATCAATTAGTTATATTTGACTTTGAAAGTTCTATCTTTCACCTAGTTCGAAAAACGTAAAACATATTTATCTGGATATATATGAGACGTTCCAAACGATTGAATAAGATTTTCATAGTTTTTATGATTAAAGAACTCAAAGAGCTCGACTCAAGAAAAAAAAAACATTAAAGGAAAAAGTAAATTGATCAAATCATAGTTATGTAACATACCCTTTAGGACCAGGGTAATTTACACTGGTTTTCAGGAGAACCACACAACATCCATACTTTCACGGGACAACCCAAACAGTACAGCCCAATCCCGTTTAACAGGAGAGTCAGACATCTCCCAGGCTTAAAATTTGTAGCCCAAATAGTATGGATCAACTACGTTTCCATGAAAACCAGACACCATCCAGGCTTAAATTTTATAATACGAGTAGTACAGCTTAGTCCCGCTTCACAAGGGAACCAGACATCACTATAGGCTCTAACGCTAAAGTCTGAATAGTACAGCTCAATCCTGTGGCGCAACCACACAGGTGCCAAGCACCCTGGTGGACCATTCGCATCCATTCATATACATATTCACGTCATATATATAATTATTCCGATCAATGATCGCTTGAATCAATTATGCACAACGCGAACAGGCCAAAGTTGACCTATTCTGCTTACACAACACTCATTAATGTTAACAATGGCGACAAGTATTACAATGTCCCAACGACAATGGCCTTGAGAACACTGAAGAACAACCACCAGTATGAATGAAATCGGTTAACCAGCAAACCAATTTTGTGCATGAACATCATCAAAATTTGCCAAAGTAATGCCGAACCTTACACAATACCGATGGCGAACCTCCTGTCTCATATGAGACCTTCAGCTCTACATAGCAATATAGCTTATACTGCATAGGACACTATATTTAAGTTAGTAAACGAAATAGCCCAGCCTCAAGCGTTAGGGCTTAAACAACGCCTAAAACCCATTTTCTGATGTCGGAATACCATTACAGGACCACCAACATCATTTTTATCGAGTTCGCGAAATTTTCATTTTTCCGACTTTTCAGACCGTAACTGAGTTAAGAGTAGTATCCCTGATTAAATCATCTAAAAACTAAATTTCTCAAAATAATATCTCAGTTCACTCATTCAAAACTTCAGTAGGTGAGTAGATAACGCGATGGCGTTTGAAGCGAACGGTACTGGATTTGAGTCCTAGAGAGAACATCAACTCTAGGATGCAGGATACATTCAGTTAAAGGAGTCTCAAATAGTACAAAACACGAGTTCCTCGTTTCCACTGTTAGCCATTATCCATCTTTGCTTATAAAGCCTGTGACTTAAGTCTATATCGAGGCAATCCTCACAGGATGCATGTATGCCAATATAGAGAGACACTAATCAATTGCAGTCCTTAAACAACAATAGGTAAATACAATTAAGCTAATACCTAAGTGAACAGAATAATTTTGTTTTAATTCACCAATTACATTTAAATAACTATAATGAACTAATATAGATGAAATAGTTTAAATATGAACGAATATTATATTTATTTTATTTTAACACATAGATATTGATACAAGGAAGGCACCAAATACATATGTGCCACACAAATCTCACTTGATATGCGTGAGAAGCTGTGATAGTGCTCGGGTGCCCAAACCGAAGCAGGTGATTTTCTAGGGGGGCCACATCCAGAGCCTTTCGACCTAAAGGTCTGGATCCACAAGGCAAGTAGAGCATCGTGAGGCAGTTGCAGTTCCATGGTAGCCTGTGACCAAAGATTGGTTCATATGTCATTTGTTCCTTCAGGATACTGGATCCCATGTGTACCATTGGTTTGGAATGAGGGTTTTCCAACTTCTCTAGGTGGATCCTATTAACACCAGCCCTGTTAAAGCTCCGGACGTTCGCGTTTTGTCCTCTGAATTTGGTAAACAACATCCGTGGTGCGGTAAGGCAATGAGTAGGACTTCCGTGGCAGAGGTTAAATACGTGTGGCCATGTGAGAGCATTTGGAGAGGGAGACCTGACTCTCCTCACTCTCGGCCGTATCAGGGCATTTGGGGGCAAACAAATATTCTACTTAAAGATAATCATTTTCAGTTCAATAAAACAAATACCATATTGATTGATTCCTCCTTAACAATAATTAAATGGAACTAATTTTAAAAAGGACTAGAACTCAAAACATTTTAGTTGACATATCTTTGTAAAATTGACTGTTAGATTGCTTCTTATATCAACATGAATGGAAAGAAAAACACATTATCCGAAGTAGTTTATCAACAACAGTCTACTGTCGTAGAGGATAAATCAACTTTCATATGAATAAGAAGTTAGGAAAAGACAATGGAAGTGTATAGGATAAAGCAATAAACTGGATTATGAGGTAAGTGCCAACTTGGAATCCTGTAGTGAAATGAAAAAGAGGAAGGTTAAAAAACACTGAATCGGGAATTGGAAGCAGATATGTAAAAGATGAGTAGCAATTGGAAAGAACTGGATTGTTTTGTCTAAGACTGGGTTAGATAGAGAATAGTTGGTGGGTGGCCTATACGCTTCTGTGAGGGATAAAAGGCAGTAAGTAAGTAAGTATATCATTCTTGACAGTTCAAATTGATTTGTATTTAAACATATAAACTTTACTGATTGAAATCATGAGTCAATTGAAGCTAGATCCACCATGGAAACCTGGAAGCACTGGACGGCCGTTTCATCCCAGTATGAGACTCCTCAACAGTGCGCATCCACAACCCCGCACACACCGTGAGATTCGAACCCAGGACCTATCGCTCTCGCGCTAGGCGCTTAACCAACTAGACTACTGAGCCGGCCGGCCGGCCAGCATCCAACGGTGTTAATGTCTAACTCCAACCAATACACAAAGTTGCGCCACTGTACACCATTGTCTTCAGTGAGTTGATATCTCA